ACACACACACACACACACACACACACACACACACACACACACACACACACTCATGCAGGTCTGTTCCTGTGCATACAGGTGTACACACATACACACACACACACACACACTCATGCAGGTCTGTACCTGTGCATACAGATATGTACACACACACACACACACACACACACTCATGCAGGTTTGTACCTGTGCATACATATATGCACGTACACACGCACACACTCATGGGGTGGGGGACATATAATAACATATCCCAAACTGTGTTCATTCTAGAAGCCACAGTTAGCCTCCCCATTTCTTTCTGAGTCTTTCTCCCAAAGGTTTGTTTTATTCTCTGTAGTGACAAGTCTCCACAGCTCGAATAACTCAGAACCCTTTACATTAAGAACAGAAACATTCTGTGGACAATAACCTGCTAGCCACACACAGGGCTTGTCCACCCATCTTTCTTACCTGCGCTGGTTTACTTCTTTTTTCTGGGGAAATTGGGGAGAGTTCAACAAAAAGAGATGGCAGACGTTCACCCCTGTGTTCCCATGATGAAACACCTGAACTCAACTCTAACAGGAGAAAGGCTTTATCGGCTCCTGTCAGAGGTCCAGTCACGTGGCCCTGTGTCTGGGACCTGTGACTGCACAGTATCCACAGCAGAGGGGACATCACAGAGGACGACAGTTTACTGAGACACAGAGAGGGAGGGATTAGGTCCCCAGTGACCTACCTTCCGTCCTCTTCATCCCCAGAGGGACACAAACGGGGTGACGCCTCTAACACGCAGAGCTCTGGGGGCCTTTAAGACAACACTGAAGCAAACCTGTATAATGAACAGTAGTACTCTCCTGGCAGTATAGTATATATGCGCTCAGTCCCGTTCCACGGCACCACCCTTCAGGTTTAGGTGAGTGGTGACACCCCTTCGAACCTCAATTCCCCAGTGACAATGGAGGAAATAACAGCTTCCATGATGAGTAATGAGGACTTGCCCATAGGATGGCGCTGACTCCGTTAGAGGGCTCAGTCCTCACTGCTAACAATGTACAGCTAATGGCGATGATGCGGCTCTTCCTGTTAATACCTGCTGTCTCACCAGCAATTCTAACTGAGACTGCTTTTCTGACACATGAAGCCCTCCTTCCCTCTGCCTGGCAATAATAATAGTTACAAATGGTCCCAGGCTCTATATTCACCGCCCTGCCAAGCCCCTGCCTAGCCCTGCCGCCACCTTTCCTTCGCTTTCCAAGACTAACAACTCTTTAAATCTTTGAGTGGCAGCTCTTTAAAAAGGAGAGAGTAGCTGGCAGTGGTGACGCATGCCTTTAATCCCAGAACTCGGAAGGAAGAGGCAGGCGGATCTCTGTGAGTTTGTGGCCAGCCTGGGCTACAGAGTGAGTTCCAGGACAGCCAGAGCTACACAGAGAAACCCTGCCTAAATAAATAAATAAATAAATACCGGAGAGCTAGTGTATTCTAGCTCTGGCCCAGAGGAGAAGCAGCTTGATAAAGAGAGATTATTTTAGGAACATGTAGCTAAACTCCATGTGGGTAAGTTGAAAAATAATTAATTTAAAACCAATTGAGGCAATTAAAGGAAATGTTCAGTGAATTACCACTCAGACTGAAAATAACTAGGCCAACTTAAAAAGTTTTTCACCAGTTTCTATAAATAACAGAATCACATTATTAACTTGTTTTGAACTCATTTTCAAACTCAGTGAACATGAAGTTTTCTTTTAATAAACTTTATCTTTTTAGGGTCAATTCTGTGCTTAGGAAAACATTATATATACAAAATATTTTCTGTATATGCCCAAATAAAAAATACTAAGTTGTTTGCTTTGCCAAAGAGCTGTAAGAAACAACCAGCGTATCTCCTGATGGATCCCGGCGGTAAAGGAGAAACACAGGAAATAGTCAGTGAGTTATTGAACAAGGACACAGGTTCTCCGAGATAGCATCAACCCAGGGCTGCGGGGGGAGGGCTTAAGACAAAAGGAGAAAACAGATGTTTTGTTTGACCTGCGCTGGGTTGAGAAAACACAAAAGTGGTCAACATACAAAACTGTGAAACTTCTCCTTAAACACCAGGGTTTCTCTCAAGTCTCCCACCCCTACTACTGCTCAGTCTCCAGCCTCTCCGGAAAGCAGATGTTCTAGAAATACCCAGCATCCCCTGGTGGTTAGTAAGGGCTGTTGCCTTGGTCACAGAGGGACTTGCCATTTGCCTCAGGGCCTTCTCTTCCCTTCTTCATTTCCACAGAGACAAGAATCCATTTCCTTATGTTCATTCTCTTTAGAAAGAGAGGGAGAACTATGTCTTAAACCAAGTGGGAATTAAGTCTTGGTATTTGAGATAGTGTCTCACTCTGAACACAGACTGGACTGACACTCACCATATAGCCACGACTAGCCTCAAATTTGATACAATCCTCCTGCCTCAACTGCCTAAGCGAGTCACTACACTTGACTCTATATATCTTCCTTCCTAATTACCTCTTCCTTTTCATATAAGGACTTCATGCCTATTGCATCAAAACCTCACCTTTAGCCTTAATTACCTCCTTTAAGACCCTGTCTCCAAATGCAGTCACATTGAGTGTTTAAGAAAACATATTTCTGTCTATAACGGCATGTCCAATCCCTATCCTGATGCAACTGCCCCATGAACGCATCCCTGCTTCGGAGTGTGAGGCCCGCCTGCACTCTGTACAGCTTTCCAGTGTTTCCTTATTATATGGCTCCACACATCAATGCTCAAATGAAAAACAAATATGCCGGGCAATGGCACACGCCTTTAATCCCAGCACTCGGGAGGCAGAGCCGGGTGGATTTCTGTGAGTTCAAGGTCAGCCTGGTCTACAGAGCAAGCTCCAGGACAGGCACCAAAACTACATGGAGAAACTCTGTCTCAAAAAACAAAAAACAAAACAATACCATACATGCTATGTTAGAAACTGCTTTTTCTCTTTCTGTTTAGTGGTGTCTACTTAGCACATACTGTCAACAGGCCAGTTAATGTCACCATAACATAACATATGACAATAAGCCCACACTCCATTATCCGGATGCTTTCTTGTGGCTGTTTTTGTTTTAACACAGGGTCTTACGTAGTCCAGACTGGCCTTGAATTCTCTATATCAAAGATGACTTTGAAATTCTGATCTTCTTGCATCTGCCTCCTGAACATTGGAATTACAGGCATGCACCGCCATGCCTAGCCACGCTGGAAATCAATTAGAGGGCTTTGTGCATGCTAGACAAGCAGGCTACCAACAGAGCTACGTCCCTTGCCATCGAGATGTTTCCTGATGTTCCTAACCACGTCCCTGAGATCTGGCATCTATGTTGTTTTCCGTTATAAACAACGTGTTTATATAAACATAAGTGCACAGCCACATTTATTCCCAAAACAAATTAAAACTTAACCCTTTCTTCTATCTGTAGGCGGCTCTCGTCAAGCTCAGTCTCCTCAGCCTCCCAGATCTAGAAGTCCATCCCAACAGAGGCTTTCCCCACAGGGCCAACAGCCTGTGAGCCCTCAGTCAGGCTCTCCACAGCAGCAAAGGTCCCCAGGTTCTCCACAGCTATCCCGGGCATCTGGTGGCAGTTCTCCAAACCAGGCCTCCAAGCCAAGTGCCAGCCTCGGCTCACATCCCCGGCCACCTGTGCAGGGCCGCAGCACCTCCCAGCAGGGTGAAGAGCCCCAAAAGTCAGCACCGCCTCACCCCCACCTCAAGTAAGTGTTTGAAGTCTGAATGGGCAGAGAGTAGAATTAGAGTGTGTCCTAATTCTTACTGACTCAGGGTCAGGAACTAAGAGACAAAGGACCGAACAAAACCTTGCCTAGAATTCAGAGAGGGGCACGTGGACCTATAGAGTGGCATTTGTGTAGCAGGGACCAGCAATTGGAGAGTACAGATTAGGCTCCACCACGTCCTCAAGATCCCTGTATCAGTCACCACTTGCGATGTAACAAACCCAAATTTATGTGACTGAAGCAAATCAGTTTCCTGCTTGTTCTAGTTTCCTGTTGCTGTGATAAAACACTCTGACAAAAAGCAGTTTTAGAAAAGCTAGAGGGATAGCTCAGTGGTTAAGAGCATCCTTCTAGAGGACCAGGGTTCGGTTCCCAGCACCCACATAGTGGCTGACAACCATCTGTAACTCAATTTCCAGAAGATCTGACACCCTCTTCTGGCCTCTATGGGCTCTACATGCATGTAATGCACAGAGATACATGCAGGCAAAGCACCCATGCACATAAAATACAAATAAAAATCTTGAAAATTTGTTTTCTAAACAACTTAGGGGAGGAGAGGATTTGTTTCAGCTTCCAGGTCACAGTTCATCACTGAGAGAAATCAGGAAGTGACCTCAAACAGGAACTTGAAGCAGAAACTATGGAGAAATGCTGTTAGCTCACTTGCTCACTGACCCCTACTTAGCTAGCTCTCTCTCATAGCCCAGAGCCTGTCCAGGGAATGGTGCCGCCCACAGTGGCCAGGCCCTCCTACCTTAATTAACAAGCAGGGCAATCCTCACAGACACGCCCACGGGCCTCCCTCAGCTGAGGGTCTAGAACAGGGATGGCCTGGCTTCTCAGCTAATGCTGGGAACTCTGTGAGAATAACTGGAGCCTGACTCAGCCCACTAAGGCTGAAACAGCCCCATAAATTACAGAGCAGCCTGGGATTGGGTGGGGAGGGGGGCGTGGAAGCTGTGCCTGCTCCCTACTTCTTGCTGGAAGGTCTATCCAAGCCACATACTTGCCTCTGGGAATACTGATTTCAATACCTAAGAAAATGAAGGCAACACCTCCCACCTTGCAAATTCTAGGCTAACATCATACACACTGTGATGCCTGTGATGCCTGGTTTCTGGTCTCACTGTCTTTTGATGACTGGGCTCAGCCAACCTTAGGGCCAGCCCCAGACTCATTCCTTTGGAAGTCCCAGCCATAACCATCCCCAAAACCTTGCTTTCTGTTTCAGCAAATCTCAGTCCCTGACGAACAGCCTCAGCACATCAGATGCCTCCCATCGAGGGACCCCAAGTGAAGATGAGGCCAAGGCCGAGACCATCCGCAACCTGAGGAAGTCCTTTGCCAGCCTCTTCTCTGATTAGCCCCACCTAAGCTGGAGGGCAGGAAGACTCGGTGACTGGAGACTTTCTCTGGTTCCCTCCTTCTCAGCCTTGGTTCCTGGTGGAAACACGCTTCCTAGATGCCTCTGACCCAGGAACTGATGATCTATATGCATTCCCACCTCCTTGACCATGACATTCCAATGCCGTCTGAATGAGCTGTAGCCTTGAGAGCCCCTGGCTTCCTCAACACGGGCCTTCCAGACAGACAAGGCGTCACTACACCCACCATATGCTTGCTCCCCTGCCACTGGTACCAAGTGAGATGTCTGTGTGGCTCGTTTTTTGCATTCTTATTAGTGTTTTGCTTGCCTTTGGGCAGAGGCCCTCTTTGAGGCCTTGACTCTCCTCCATCAAATGCAGACATTGTCAATAGTCGGACCTCAGCAACGTAAGAGGCAATACTTTTTAATGGTGTTTTTGCAAACAGAAATAGGGAAGCCCAGCCCAGGAGCCTACTACATACCTAAAGCAAGCTAGTGCCATCTTTGCTGGGAGCAGGCTGACCAAGGCCCCATCTCAGCTGGCCCTCACAGGGACCTTGATGCCAACAGAAAGAAGCTAGACTCTCTGCAACAAGTGGGGCCTTTCAGGACAGAACAGAGGGAACCCCACACAGTGCTACCCATGCTTAGAGCCAACAGCAAGAATCCAGAGAAAGCCTGTGCCCCCTGTGGAGAGGGTCACAGGATTGGGCCTCTCTGACCTCACACAGAATCTGTTCTTCTTCCTCCTTAAGGCTAGATGGGAAACCAGAGAGAATGGATAGCTCCCTGTCACAGGATCACAAGACATGGTGATGGAGTCTATATGGTTCGGCATTTTACCTGCTCTGAACAAGGTGTCAATAGGCCACTCAGTTTCCCAAAGGTCTCCTGGCGAGACAGCCTTCAGAAACAGTGCGTGTTTCTCTTTAGGAGACACAGAATACAGAACACACATTGAACTTTGAAATTTCTTCCAGAAAAAGTTCCACTCCCACCTTGTTTTAGTCATTATGACGAAGATAGCCTGCCGCAGAGCTAGGCAAAGTGGTCCTGACTCCCCCTCCAGTGCTCCTTTGCTCCTTCCCTGACACCAGACCGCCTCCGGATCACATCACCAAGCACCTGGTGCTAGAAACGCTGTAGGTGCCAGAACAGTGTCGTGGTCCCAAGACGACCCAGGACATCAGAACACAGCCATGCTATCTGTACAGCCCTGCTGGCCACCTGCGGTATGCCTTCCTTGCTCTGTGTGAGGAGGGAAGTGACTAACTACACAGCTTCTGCTTCTGCTAGAGTTCTGCAGATTGCTTGGTGATCATCCGAGGCATTTCCAAGTCTCCAGGAGTCTAGAAGCAGTCACTGTAGTTTCTGGGGGAGTTTTCTGCTTGTTTTCTTGAAACAGACTCATTCAGCAACTCAGGCTGGCCTAAAACTTATGTAGCCCACGCAAGTCTCAAATTCATGGTGATTCTCCCTCTTTATCAGCCTCCCAAGAGCTGAGACTGCACGAATGAACTGCCACACCCGGTGGTTCATCATCCTCCCAGCCCAGACTGGAGTGGCAGAGACAAGGGTAGAGACCCTCTCCTGCCTTGGCTCACTTAGAACCCTGCAATTCTGCAGAATGCACCTTCAAGCTGGTTTCCAGCAGGGATCAGCTCGGCATCCAAAGTGGCAGCTTTGGCCATGGCTGCAGAGATCCATTTGGCCCTGGGGTCACCCTCTTCCTTCTTGCCTTTTCCCTCCTCATGATCAAGTCAATATGGAGAGCAAGCGCACCAGAATTATTTGAAAAGCCCTCTTTGGCCTCTCTTTCCATATCTTTGGCTTGGAAGAATAAACAGCAGCTCTAAGTCTACGTTGTGTAGGTCGAGTGACCACTGAGGCCATAATTTGGAGCTGTAGACCACAGGGCTTCGGCATAGTTGGAACTGACTACTCAAGAGCAAATATGCTGTGGTGTGATGTGCGGAGTGAACTTCTGAAGGCCTGGTACCCCTCCCAGTACCAACAAAGCCCAACCTCTTTTATTCCTAAGTTCCAATGAGTTCAGTGAGTACAGGACAGTCCCTGAGGCACATCTTCCTCATTTTGCCCAACTGCTCTTCTACCACAGAATGAGGCTGGCAAATACTTCCAGAATGCTCCTTGAGGACAATAGGGATGACCCAGAATGTGGTAAGACACATGGCACAAGGGTCAGTACATTCTCCTGCCCCCCCCCCACTCCCCGGTGAGGGAGAGGAGGTCTTAAGGCCAGCATCCCCAAGCCATGCTTTAGGTAGGTTATCCAAAGGAAGAAAAAAGGTCAGTCTGAGTTCACAGAATGTTGCTTCTTCCTCCTGCTCCTCCTACTCTGACTTAGCTCTTGCACCTTTCTCTAGAACCTCTGAAGAAAAATAGGTGGAGCAGAAGGAAGGATTCGGCGGGGAGGGTAAGATTTGAAATGTCAAAGATAGTTTGTTAAAGTGAATTCTACAGATGTGGGTGTTGGCTTTCTGATTATCTACCAGAAGATGTGAGTCCCTTTTTCAGGTCCCCCAGCACCTTCCTCCCTTCTCCTCCTCACCCCCTCTCTATTTCACACACACACACACACACACACACACACACACACACACACACACACACACACACAGAATATGCCTGGCTAATGACCAGAATGAACACATTAAAATGTAACATCTCGCCGGGCATGAGGGTGCACCCTTTAATCCCAGCACTTGGGAGGCAGAGGCAGGCAGATCTCTGAGTTTGAGGCCAGCCTGGTCTACACTTTGAGTTCCAGGACAGCCAGGACTACACAGAGAAACTCTGTCTTGAAAAACAAAAACAAAAATGAAAAAAGGAAAGGGAAAAAGGAACAGTAAGATGTTAAAACCCCATTACCTCATTTCAGACCATAGTCCTCTTTCTAGGGGGTCCCTGATGACTTGTTTCAGTAACAGACTGCTTCCCTACCAGACCTTGAGAAGCGAGGGCTCACTCATGAGGCACATGTGGAGGAAACCAGCACACCAACCTCACATGATTGAGGAGCCTAAGAGCCTGGACCCTTTGCTCCTAACAATGACAGCTGAAGTTGCTCCTGTAGAAAGGTCTGCCCCAGTCGGGAAGATGCAAGCAGTCTCACACAGGTGGGGGGTGGGGATGACCTTGCATTCTAGAAAAGCATAAGACAGCATACATCACAGAAGCCATGCTTTAGGCAGTTAAGAACACAGTGAACACCTGTGGCAGCCATCACCCGTGTCTCAATAAACCACAGCTCCAGACACATCATGGAGTAACAGGCAGCAGGAAATTCCTTCTAGTATAGGCCATGGCTCTGGACAGATTTTAGTTTTAAAGGCAGAGGAAACTTTGCTTCAGACAACAGGAATATGAGCTTGTAGTGAGAGGGATCAGACCTGCAGCTGGATCAGCCTCTGGGTGTTCTGGAGGCCTGCTGAGGTTGGGCGGCCATTCTGAAGCAGGGCAGGGATGGATATGTTTCCATGCCATCGCCACCCCTGCTAGGGACCTGCCCCTTTGATAGACAGAACCAAGAGCTCCGTAAATGACCATGTGGCCAAAATATTCTCACTTATATTCTGTCCCTAAAAACATCTCAGCATTCAATGGCATCTGTCCAGTATCCCAACTATAGTAGCACAAATGTCTCTCAAAATCTGAATCATCCTGATTTTATAATCATGCCAACTATGTCTCAATCCATGACGTAACACTAGACTGTGGCCAGCACTCTGAATAACTTCCAACTGGGCCGGGAATGAAAACAGAGTCCAAGGGAATACACAGGTCCGTGGAGTCCACACATCTCTCCAGTGGATTGTTTTCACCCATAAGCTAGACCATGTTGCTCCCAAAACTTTAACCTTCAATAATTGTGACATTTAGAGGTAGAAAAGGGCAAGAGGAAAGGGGAGGAGTCACTGTAAATAGATTCTGAAGGGTTCTATTTATTGGGTTTTGCTATCTTTCAAACTTTGACCCAAACAATAGCAATGACTTCATGAAGCTGAGACACAACAGAGACCCATTCAATTTGTGTACAATAACCAGGGCCTTCCAAACACAGCCCCCAAACAGCCACAGCAAGCTTCCTGCAGACCAGATGGCACAGAACATGCACACCACTTCCCTTTCCTGCACCCCACAAGGCCTCTGGGCTGTGGCAGTCACTCCCAGCATGCAGCTGGCTCTACTGGACTATGGGAGTGACAGTTCTTCTCTCATTTAAAAAAAAAAAAAAAATCAGTTGAAAACTCCATGTCACTGAATAACCACGGCTCCGCAAGTTCTGTTGTGAATATCCAGGAAAGAGGCTCCAGAGAAGCGAGCCAGCTGGGTACATGGGATCTGGCTCAGGAGCAGCTGCTCAGAGGCAGGTGGGTGTTCAGGACTCTCCTTAGGAGACTCTCCTAGAAAGTTAGGAAATTAGTGACATGGATGTGACACATTAAGATTGGAGATCCTCCTGGAGCTGGAGAGATGACTCAATGATTAAGAGCACTGACTGCTCTTCCAGAGGTCCTGAGTTCAATTTCCAGCACCCACTTGGTGGCTCACAAACACCTATAATGAGATCTGGTGTCCTCTTCTTGCCTGCAGGGACACATGCAGGCAGAACACTGTACACATAATAAATCTTTAAAAAAAAAAGGATTGGAGATCCCCCTCCCTCCCTCCCCCCCCACTCTTGTTTAATCCCCAAAGACCTCCTCTGTACTGGATCTGCAAAGGAAGGGGAGCAGACAGAATGAGATGGAGACTCTAGCCCTGGGGAGCATACTCCTGGTGGGGTACACAACTTCCTGGAAGCCAGGGAGCAGCTGAGGTCAGCATGGGATAGAGGTGGTGGCAATGGGCACTCCCAGGACCATGCTGCTGGCATTCTTTCCAAGGCCAAGACCTAGGAAAGGAAGTGTCCATCTACATGAGAGCCTTGCATCTGTACCAACCAAACGCAGCTGAGCTTTGTAAACAAGTCCCTGGACAGTGTGCACCAGCTCCCTTGTCCTTGGTTACAGCTTGGTGGCTCATTTTGTGTACACCAAAGTGGTAAGCAGCTGCACATGAGCCACAGGCTTGCACATACAAGTGGTAACCTAACTGTCACAGGGGCCAGCCCATTCACTGCAAGAGCCCTTTCACTGTATCTCTAGATTCTTATCCCAGAGCCAAACTGGCTGATACAACTAAGCTGGTGTCAGATGCTGTCCTTGACCTGAGCAGCTGATTAAACTAAACTGTTTGGTATTTAGACTTTACTAGGAGGCAGCACTTTGAGCTTGAGTGAAGACAAATGGGCAGGTTAGGCGACAAGCAAGGCTGACTGATCCATTTATCAAGCACGGAGCTCTCTTGTGCTCCCACAAAACACGAGCCCAGATTGACGAAACACACATACCCAGGTTTCACCTGCAGATCTAACTGGCACACCCAGAGGGAAGAACAAAAACGCCTACCCACAGCTTTTCACTGAGACTCGAGAAGCCTTGAGCTAACACTTCTTACAACCAGCACTTTACTTCAGAATATCAAAAACTAGTGTTACCACTCATTTGGGATTCCCAGTAGAGAAAGCAAGAAGTCAGCTCAAATTAAATCTTTAGGGGCTGGAGAAATACAGTTCAGTCAATTAAATGTCTGCAATGCAACCCAAGGACCTGCATTCAAAAGTTGGGGGTAGTGGTGAGCACTTGCAATCTCAACACTGGGGAAGCAGAGAAAGGTGGAGCCCAAGGGCTCAATGAGCAGTCAGTCTAACCTCATCTAACCTGGAGTTCCTCCAGACCACGTGAGGCAGATGTGTACCCACATCTTTACATGACTGGCCTAGCACACTGCCATAGTACTAGGGCACAGCAGAGCACCTGTCCGGCTCTTCTGCAAGGTTCAAATCGGCAGGTTAGGAGGAAAACAGGCCTGGGAACCAACCCTTGAACAGAAGAAAAGGAAAAAGGAGAGACTATCTGGCTCCACTGGTTAAGAATTAGGGAGCTTGCCAGTGAAGCAGTGACCTCAGCAACTAAGAACTGGGCAAAGAGCGAGAGAATTCAGGGTTTTACCCAAGTTGGTAAGGGTTCTTCCCAACACCGAATTACCAGCCATGACAAATGGGCATTTTCTGTTTATAGTGGTACAGGGAGAAGTAAGCTCCCATTACTAAAACATGGCTATAGGAGAACTTAGGGGCCAAGAAAGATGGAAGGCTATTTCAAGCCAATGCGCTGGAGCTGCACCATTCCCAAGCACGTGCTTCTAGGCTGTCCTGCTCCCATGACAATGCATGGAAATGACATCACAAGCCATGCAGTGAACAAGCTGCTACCAAGCCAGGATTCCATTCATGTTATCAGCAATACACAAAGCTCAAAAGCCTCATGACAAGGATGCAAGATTCTCTAAGCTTCTAAATGTAAAATTAGCTGTTAGTCAAGAGGAAATGCTTTGAGGACTCTAATGCACATTTCTGAGAGGTGCCTAAGTTTAGGTTGAGAGCACTCTTTCATTATCTTAAACTCAAACTCACAACATCTGCCAGTTAAGTCGAGTGAGGCTGGACCAGCACCGTCAGGGCCTTCCAGGGCCCATTTGGAAGTGACTGTGTTTTGAAAACTTGTGTTTGGTGCTCTGGTCTTCAGTTTCCCATGCCTCTGAGGGCATGAGTGCATGTGCGCATACACACACACACACACACACACACACACACACTCTACATGGGGCAACTTAACATCCAGCCACTAAGACATGTTTTGAAATGGAATCTAGATCAATAAAAACTTCAGGATGACACTTTCAGCCACAATTCAGTGGACAATAAGAAGACTGTCCATAGACCCATAAGCAGCCCAAATCCTCTTCTTTGTTAAAGATCACGTAGCTTATAGAAATATCAGACTGAATTTTCTTCACTGTGATGCAAAGACTAAACACACATGTAGCAAAGTCTCACTTGAATACAGGACTCCAAATATTCCTGCAGCACACATTCCAAGCCATTTCCTAATATGCAAACCAGGTTTTTAAAAACAGGTCTGGGCACTGTTCCTCTTTCCTGCAATGCCAACAGCGTTTTACCCCTGTGCGGCAGCTCTGATTTAGGTTTGTCACTGCAGCATGTTCCTAGTTATCTGTGTGAGTCATCTGTGTTTGGGCCTTTTCTGTAGAATAAATAAATGTCGAATTTTGAGTATTTTAAGTCTTACAAGCGTAACATTCTTCCAGTAAAAGGGGGCTATCCTTGAACAAGTACCTGACAGCGGCTGAAGAACTCTGCTGTCAAGACCCAATGTCTCAGACACCAAACACAAGGGGGAATCCCAGCGGGTAACAAGTCTGCACCAACCCAATGGTCGTCAGAGTCCTACAAGTTCCTCACAGAATCCCGAAAAGCTGCTCACAAAGGAAGAGATGGATCCCTCCAGGTTCAAGCAAACCAGCCCAGCTTTCATCAAGATTTGCAAGCTTTCACCCCACTGACACCACCACAGAACAAAAGCAGACACCGCCCGTACCAGTCACCTCCTCACACTGAGCAGCACCCTAGCAATTTTCAAATATACAAATTAACAGTATGAATAAGGTTTGACTAATAAATGTATCTTTAACAAAAGTCAAGACCACCATATAATTGTTGTTTTTATTAATCTAGCACAGAACATTATCAGTACCACAGCTCCATCCCAGAGGTGAATCCAGAGCAAAGTATTCCCAAAGCCAACCCAGCTTTGAGTAACCTTGTCCTAGTTGCCAGCTGAGTTTAAGGTTTTCACTGACAGCAGAGGTCAGCGTCCAAGGAAAGAGCATCTGCGGTCTCCATAGTCTCCAACTTGGTCACATGAATGGTAGCCGGCTGTCAGTTGACTGACCCCTGCTGGGTCTGAAGGGAAATCTGTTGTTGGGGCCACCTCTTCCTGGCAAAAGGGGGTTAGGTCCTGGAAGTGGACCAATAGGATCAAACCGTGGTCTGAGTGGCGGAAACGGGCTAGGTATCTCCCCTGGCCGTGGGATGAGTGAGTTGGCTGGGTCCCCAACACTGGGCAGTATCGGCCTCGTATCATATTCACCACCAATGATTCCTGGAGGAAGCAGCGAGGCGGGAGGAAAGGGCATGGGGTAGGGGTAGACAGGAATGGGACAAAATGGGATAGAGTGGGTTGACGACGGCAGGAACATCACATGCCGCATTCTCTGAGCCTCTTTTCTCTGTATATGCCTCTTTCTATACAGCTGTAGGAAAAAGGGGGGACAAGATACGGTGAGTGGTTTAGAGGTGACCCCCAAGTTCTAAGATGCCTTACTTACGGCATAAGTTCATCTGCACTTTTCTTTCCCAGTCTGTGCAGACAAAGCAGACACAGTCTACCCCATGAAGAGCTTCAGCTCCAGAAGCAGTGCCAAGTGAGCTCTGTTCTCTAAGTACTTTCGGCACACTGCCACAGAGTGAATGTCCAAAGGAGGGATAACCCAGTGGCAAATATTTTTAAGAATGCAATCTAGCACTCCTCAGCTGACATTCAAGTTTAGGTGAGCCTTTCCTGCACACAATTAAAGTATTTGTTGAAAAAGTCAAGCTATAAATAACATTCAGGTACTACAGGCAATTTCATGTTTTCATCCCTCATAGATCTCCATTTCAAACATAAACAAGTGGCTAGTTTAAAAGGCCGGCACACACTCAAGACTGTGGACTCTGCAAGCATCCTAGGACTTGCATTCAATTATTTTTCTTTACTCCTTCATCCGAAATAGTTTTTCTCAGGCCTATCAGTGGTTTTTACAGTCGAAATCTACAAATAAAGCCATGTATCTTATTCTTTTCACAATGTCCTGTGCTATCTAACAACTTTAGATTACCCAAACACAATGACAGAATTTGTTTTGTTTTGTTTTTGTTTTTCAAGACAGAATTTCTCTGTGTAGCTTTGGTGTCTAACCTGGATCTCACTCTGTAGACGAGGCAGGCCTCGAACTCACCAAAGACCCACCTCCCTCTGCCTCCTGAGTGCTGGGATTAAAGGCATATGCCGCCACCACCACCAGCCAGAATTACTCTTTTGAAAAAAAAAAAGCTTGTTTCATATTTCAATGAAAAACTATTGACTGTTCTTTGTAGTTAGAAGAAAACAAGAACTAAACCTAAAAATGAAGTCATTTTCATTAGCAATATTTAGCAATAAATTTAAATTGATTTTATCACATCACACTAACAGTGAAAAGATACCTTTCACTATTAACTCACAGTTATTTGAGTCATAAACATTAGTCTTCGTATTTAGAAATACCTACTTCTTTCCAATCTGTGTCTGGACCTCTGGCAGTACCATCTGCAAGGTAAAACAAAGCACCCAGAATTAAACTCCACTTCATGCTCCAGGACTGACGGTGAGCCTGGACCTCGCCCATGCAGAAGCAGCACCTGAGGCACACGCACACATGCACCTTCTTGAGTCAGCCAGTGGCCATCACTGCTCTCCACCCTACCTCATGACTCAAGCAGCGATGCCTCAGGACACCGCAGGACAGCGACTCATTGTCCCAGGACGTGGCTTCTGGGGCAGGCTCATGCAGGTGTGCAGTCACAGCGGTCTAGCCTGACAGCTCTTCCTAAGTGTCTGGATTACAACCCACACTCATTACTGCAAGTGAACTAACCAGGCTCCCTTCTGTAGTGGTTGCCTACCTCCTTCCCCCCTTCTCTACATGGCTTCACTACCCAGAGCGTGACAGTAACACACAGAACTACTTCAAATGTGCTTAAGGGGCTGGGGAGATGGCTCAGTGGTTAAGAGCACTCACTGCTCTGCCAAAGGTGCTGAGTTCAATCCCCAGAACCTACATGGCAGCTCACAACTGTCTGATACCCTCTTCTGGTATGCAGATATACATGCAGACAAAGTGTCCCTACATGTAAAATACATACATAAATAAATCTTTTTTAAAAAGTATTTAAAATACATGAAATGAGGGAAAAATTCAATCAACTTCAAGTCTAATGAGGAGTTCAGGAAAAAGCTAGCCATGTCTTCTCTATAAGTTACTAACTAGCTTAGAAGTTTATGAAAGCCCTAGCCCAGGAGTTCTCAACCTGTGGCCCATGACCCCTTTAGGGGCTGAATGATCCTTTCATAGGGGTCGCCTAAGACCACTGGAAAACACAGATGTTGACATTGATTTGTAACAGTAGCAAATTTACAGTTATGAAGCAGCAATGAAAATAACTTAATGGTTGGGGTCAGCACAACATGAGGCACTGTGTTAAAGGGTCAGCGCGTAGGAAGGTTGAGAACTGCGGCTCTAGCCCCATACGATCTTTACACCACTCACTCACCCAGGAGCTGTGACCCGCAATCAGAAGGGAATCACAGTTAACCGTGCAGGTGAAGGGCATCTGTCCTTTCATGACTTTACACCAAAGCCAGCTTTTTCTTGTCATTTCTTATGTGTATGTTGATCACTGTGTCTTTTCTTTTTAAACTACTTGTCTGGTTTTTCTTTTTAAAGACAAGGTTTTACCCTGTGACACAGACTAACTTTGAATTACAGAAACCTTCATGCCCAGCCTCCCACATGCTGGGATTACAGACATGCCCCCCCATGCTTGGTCTACGCACTGCTGGGACCGATCCCAGGGCCCTGCACATGCTGGGCAAGCACTCTACCAACTGAACCACGTCCCCAACCCCGTCCTTCCTCTGTAACTGTGATTTTCTTCTGGCACCACACCTGCTGCCTACTGTCACAAAGTAACACTTTAAGCAAAGAAAAATGAGGACCTTAGGAACCAAAGAGGAAAAGGAAGGATCTGGTTCACTCACTTCTTAAAGAACAACTCCCCAAGTTTAAGAATCTAAATGACCGATACTCTATTAAAGGGGTATCTATCCACCAGATTCCCACAGCTGAGGTAGGAGGTTAACTGCACATTCACCTTTTCATTACAACGTTTTTGACAGGAACCACATGGCGAGTATGTGCAGCGCAGTGAATGCCGACCTGACGTAGCTCACTCCTGTTTCCTACTCTGGTTTGTTGTTCTTGTAAACTGCTGTTGTTTTGAAAACTGAACCATTACGTCAATTCCATATCTCACCATACTTTCAAAACAACAGCTTCAAAAACACTGACATGTCAGTACTGGAAGAGAAGCTCACAGTCAGGCTCTTCTGGGAGGCTCACAGTCAGGCTCTTCTAGGGAGGCTCACAGTCAGGCTCTTCTGGGAGGCTCACAGTCAGGATCTTCTGGGGAGGCTCACAGTCAGGATCTTCTGGGGAGGATCACAGTCAGGATCTTCTGGGGAGGATCACAGTCAGGATCTTCTGGGGAGGATCACAGTCAGGATCTTCTGGGGAGGCTCACAGTCAGGATCTTCTGGGGAGGCTCACACTCAGGATCTTCTGGGGAGGATCACAGTCAGGCTCTTCTGGGAAGCTCACAGTCAGGCTCTTCTGGGGAGGATCACAGTCAGGATCTTCTGGGGAGGATCACAGTCAGGATCTTCTGGGAGGCTCACAGTCAGGCTCTTTCTGGCTCTGACCTGGAAATCCTAGTGTACAAGGTCTAACGTCTCATCACTGGTGCAGTGACCATCCAGACCACGGCAAAGACCCGAGCAGCACACCACAGACGAGCAGCTCTGTGAGCTGACACTGGCCCACGAGGCAGTGGGTAGAGGGACAGTTTTTCTAAGTCAGAGACGGAAAATGCTCTTTCGGATGGAATGAGCCTGTCTTCTACTTGGTATCCTGACCTAAGTTTACTGGGGCTAAAGGGTTATATTGCAGAAAATAGGAAAAAAGGAACAGGGGAGAGGTCACCATCAGGAAGCTGGAGCTTCTTTCCTCAAAAGCTCCTCAACAAGCTGCAGATAAACAGAACTGCAGGGGGAACCTCTACTTAAAAACCTTAGCCGGCTGAGTAACGCCATGGCAACCACGGTGAGTCTTTCTCCCGTCCACACGTCATCATGTAATCACCTCGAAAATCCCGCAGATACAAACAGCGCCACAGCAGCGGGTCACTTGATGCAAGGAAGAGGTCATGACAGACTGCAGACAAAGCCAGGACAGAACGAACATCCAGAAGTCGGAAGATGCGAAGTTTCAGCTCCAAGGGAAGGACGATCAGCCCAAAGACATCTGGAAGGTTCAGTACTAGATGGGAAAAAGAGCAACAGGAGTCACGGAGTAAAG